GGTTTCCTCACGATGTTTTCCTTCACCGTCAAGCACGTCGTATATCAGCACTTAAAATTGCAATTAACAGTTCATTAGTGTCGGCGAATTCAAACTCGGGTTACTTGCGTTCCGCGAAATTTATAGCTATTACTTAGCTTTTAAGATACCACGGCTCTTGTCAGGATTTCAATAATAGATTACCTTTTATCTGTTTATCACAACATGACCAATTTATTTTGACAAATAATAAATACTATTTGCGACACTATGGCTGTCTGGGTCATCAAACGGCCTTGAAATAATGTAGTGATAGGATAGAAAAGGCTTTTATTATATTTAGGTAAAAATGTATTAATTTTTAATTTAAGAAATATTTAATATACCTCTAAATATATATATAACTATAGGCTTATTTTAAGAAATACTCTGCGACACTATGGGTCATTAAACGGCCTTGAGTTAAAATAACGTGGTAGAAAAGATAAAGCTAAGGTAATGAAATTTTTAGGTAACCTTATATATATATATATATATATATATATATATATATATATATATTATTTTAAATTAGGCAGTTATTTGCATAACTATAGGTATATAATCTATTTAGAATATTTAGAAGAACGTTGTTGGCGCATTTCCAGCGGTGAAAACTGTATCCCTTTAGCTGATTTCTTAGGGTTATAAATTTCTAGGTGTTATAAGGATAGTCAGTTCTGTAAGGATGGACCTGAAATTTTATCCGGTGTACTGTCTAGGAAGTTCTTAGTTTCAAGGGCAGAATGGCGCAGGCGCATTGTCATGTCATAAACTAATAGTTCGCGGAGTACCTCATACGATCGCTTGTTGCCCATAGCGGTGAATGCTTCTGGTAAGCATTTGGTAGTATAGCATTCGGCATTGATGCTACTACGATTTTGTAAAGGGATTGATACCAGATATATCGTCATAATAATTTAAAAAAAAAACTAGCAATCAAATTCCGCTTTGCTCTTCTTGAGCGTTTTAGTTTCGTTGATAAATTCAATCTAAATCCGGTGATGGTGGATGTTGCAATAATTTAATCTTTGATCCCATATTTCGGCCATCAGAACTGCGCATATCTGCATCCGTGTGTTGCTTTGATGAAATAATGTCATTTTCTTGTTACTACCTTGCAATATGCTTGTAATCCCAATTATTTCCAGTTAACTTGAACTGGATGTCTCGAAAGATGTTCATCTTTTGAGACATCCAGTTCAAGATTCATCATCTCGTATATCCCTTGTGAACGTTTAAGCTCATTAACTATTTGTAAATAGTTGTAAACAAAAGATCAGATGTACCATGAACGTCATCCAATTTAACTTGCTCTAATCGGTGTTAAAGCGTTTTAGATAATTAAGAAGTTTGTTACTTCAATCGATAATAAAAATGAATCCATGTAATATATATACAATATATATATATATATATATATATATATATATATATATATATATATATATATATATATATATATATATATATATATATATTTGCAAATTGCAAATTTTAAACATCAGTGACCCCATTGTAGCGGTGAATTTGAGTAATACGAAAGCAGCTATATACGAGGTGTCCATAGAATGTAAATATCAGTCAATGTCAAGTACTCGCACGATTGCTTGTCACATTAACATTAAAAAGACGTTAATTGCCTTTCATTTTAAATTTAAATGGCGCTTGTTGCATTTAAAAATGCGATGCATATTACACATATACGAACTAAATTATATATCAACGTCAGTTCACAACGACTGACTATACAGTGATTATAGTGTCGAGATGAATAATTTGGCAATACCAATACTTAATTTGCGAAACGTGTTACTCTGTACCGTCAAGTAGCAAAAAATAAACACTCATTCATAAACATGGTTGCCACACTTCAATATATAGGTATATTATCGTATTTATTTCGCCTTAGTGATGTTTACAAAACAATGAATCTACAAAACAGAAATATGACGCTTACATACTTACAAAATACTGACTTGACAAAAATCGATATCACTTGGAGTGGTAGCTAGAGACTATGCACGGCCATTTGGCACAATTCTCAAACACCTTTTTGCTTCCTTTACATCCCTATGTATGTATATCACCAAAATGTTCTCTTGAGTAGTCCCATCTTCAATATATACTCAATTTTGTCGATAAACTTCCACCTGGGAAATCCCTTGCTGACTTTGCTACTCACTTTTAATAATACTGGATATGGTAGAGAAGACATAATATAATTCCAGCATGGTGGTACCATGTAGGAAACATAAAACACGTTATAAATAAGCTTTTAAAATTACGGAGTATTGATTGTCTTTGCCATAAAACACTTAGTAGTTATTATAAGAAATCGTAGAATTAAAACGAATTGAGGTTTTACGCTATTATTCGTGGTTTCCTAAAAGCTACCAAACTGCAGCAGATACTATAGATGTATTGTCACTCTTGAGTTTTAAGTTACAATACGTTAAAGCTAAAACTGGAACTGAAATACAATTTGCAGTGTTATCAATTTAAAGAAAAAAAAAAAAAAAAATTGCAGAAGATTAGTTAAGATAGTGATCATATCAGTTCTCTCGGTTAGATCTACCATGTCATTAAACTTAATTGGTTGTAGCAAAAGGTGGCAACCCTATACAGAATTTACGCATAAATTAAATGAAGAATATAAGTGGTATCTACTATATTCCCAAGCTTATAAAATATGCTTCACATTGCATACATTAATAACGTGGGGGCTTAAAGGAGGTTGTATCTGACAGTCCCGTATGTAAGACCTGCTTGAGTTACAAATAGGTTAATCGGATAACGGATGTTGTGATGTAAATTGAAGGATTATTCGTTCTTTGCGTCTGAACCCCGATCTGCGTATACAGTAAACTGTAAACGAGATATTGAGAAAAAAAGTTACGAACATGATATTAAATTGAAACAAAAAATTAAAAATTGTTAATGAAACTTACTATTTATAAAATATCCATCAATAAATCCATTCATTCTGCTGAACTTACGCCTCCCTCATCCATAAAGGACTCATAGGGAAGATTTTGCCATAGTTGCCACGCTTGGCGGGCCGATTCGCAACCACAGTTTTTTATTATTTTGAGTTGTTTTCCGGAAGAAGCTGCTATCCAGAAGGGCCTCTAACGACACCCGCGGAAAGATTTTGGCTAGTGGATATTCTTACAACATCACTAACCGGTTAAATTAATAAATATAAATAACAATTAAATTTTTTAAAGTAGAACGTTAGGAACTAAAAGATATTTTAGTTAATTGTTTCGCTTATTATATTTATTGAACTTAGGTGCGATAATAAGTTATGACTACAAATATAGTAATGAGAAAGTTATGATTTATTTTACGATAAGTTTAAATAAGTAACAAATTAATGTGTTACAATTTTTCTTTGTATCTATAAATTTAGATTTTAATCGTCGATTGTATTTGTCGCCACCTCTTGGCTGATAGCAGAAACTTACGAACGTAACTTTGTTACACATGCATGAATCTCAACAAATAGTTACACACTTATTTACATAGATGGCGCGTTCATGTAACGAATGCGTTGAAGTCTTTTGTTCCTACATAGTGATAATGATAGTTGGTTGGTACATTCTATGAAATAAATATTATTGTTCAAACTTTATTATAACAAAGATTCAATATGTAAAATGCCATAACTGACATGCTTGGTTGGTTAGTAACCTCGTGTTTTCATGAGACATAGGAAAACCCATTTTCTAGGTCAGTTTAATGGTTATAAAATCAATTGAGAGTTAGGACGGAAACGAGGTGTACAAACAGAATCCAGGCCTTAAAGGATCTTGAATTGCTCGTAGTAAAGGATGGCCTGTTGCTAAATGGGCTAATATATAACAATTAATTAGCTAATAGATAATATAATAATCTGGCAAGACATGAAGGAAGTTGATGGGAGCAGGTGTCTTAAAGGTGTAAGCCATGTCGACTTTCTACAATTATTAACACTAGTACGAGTAAATCACGTTACGTAATGTTACAGGTGACTTTCTTATGACCTAACGTTGAGATAATATATCATTCCTTTTCTTTTTATAGTCTTCTATTAGCATTAATGTTTAAATTGACTACATAATAATATATCATTTATATTCATTTTTACAGTTTTCTAAATGTATAGTTATGCTCAAGTTTTTTAAAGAATTAAGGTGACAGACGAGCACACAGTCCATCTGAAGGTAAGTGAGGGCTTTGGACTATGAACATCTACATTTTTCCTCGATTAACAATCAAAACGCAGATGCGGTGTCATCCCTGAGGACTAAGATGGAATGCCTCGTTTCTAGTAAAAAGGTTCTCCAGTTCTCTACATTTATCATATGGAACACAAAAGTATTTAGCTGTTATTTTATAGTAATCTGTGAGATCCTGGTCCTTCCCCGGGCAAGCTAACTCATTCACGCTACAACCATAGCTGCAGCTGGGCTCTGCCATAGAAGAATAATAGAAGATATATTTTTTGAAGTTTGTTAAATGTAGGAATTTATAGTCATAAAACTCAAGGACATAGTGCTGCTTGAATTGATGAAGTGCAATTTCGCGTGCTAATTGATTACATACAGGGTTATAGAGAAAATAATAAAATACGTTCGACTACAAATTATATTTAAAAAATATCATATGAAGTTAGTTTTACGGATTAAATGACATTTTTTTATAACAAAAACTAGTTTCATATAATGTGTAGTGTTCGCGTAAACAAAGAAATCATTATGAAAAAATGTTTTATTATTCATGTGTTTTTTTTTTATTATAACAATATAAATAATAAATGCCATCGTATATTATAACTTGAAATATATGGGGGCGTTATAGTATTCTGGGAAAAAAATGTGATAATTTACTCCCTTTTATTTATAATCTAATAAAATAGAAAGCGTTTTCCTACATTTGCATTAATAAACTAGTAGAAGGTTATTATAATATAAATTACAAATTATTTCTTCCACCAGGAGCGGTCGCCTAGCGGTGGAGGGCTGGTGGTGTGGTCGAACGATGCCGCCCGGGGGGCGGACCAACAATGGCGCCCTGGCGCTGCATTACGCAGCCGCGAGGGGCTGCCTGGACTGCGTGAGATTGCTCGCGAACACAACACCTGATGTCTCGTAAGTGATCTAATGTTATACTCTATTTATTTTATTTTATTTTTATTTATTTAACAGATACACCATTGGTTTATCACTAGACATTGTTAAATATAATACAATTGGTTTTGTTCAAAATGATTCGCCTTTCAAGGTATATACAACATTCACAAAAATAGTGCAGCTACAATAAGACAGTTGTTAACTTACTTAACTAGAACAATATCATTAATAAATTTACAAGTAATTTGATTACAATGAAACTAATGCTAAACTTGAAGAAGAGAGAAAGAGTTATAAATACTTATTACATAATCTAGCAAATTTTGATACGTTATCCGTATGGAAAATGTCGACGTCTCCGTTGGTGGTTATGTCGTTATACGTTTGCATTAACCTATTTATTGGGGCTCGTTTACCTAAATTTGTTCTCTGGTTGGGTAAAAAGAAGATTTTGGTAATCGGATGTCTTGGAATAGATCTTGGAACACTTATTTGATTTAACAGTGCCGGTGATAGTAGGAGGCCGTGAATTAGCTTATAAAGTGTTTTAAGATCGCTAAGTCGACGTCTTTCTTCGAGAGATTCTAATTTGAAGTGGAATAGCCTAGTAGTATAGTCAGCACGGTAAGGACAAGTTTGATCTTTAAAGGCTAAGTAGCGGGTAAAATTGCGCTAGATACGCTCTATTCGATCACTGTGAATTTGGTATGATGGGTTCCAAACAGGTGATGTATATTCTAGTGTACTACAAATAAGAGCTTTGTATATAGTGAGAATAGATATAGACTTCCGCAAATCCTTACATATTCGCTTTACGAATCCTGCCATCTTCCATGCTTAGGATGCAATATTATCAATATGGATGTTGAAATTTAATTTTTTATCTATCATTACGCCAAGGTCACGGATTACTTCGGATTCTGTTATTTTTTCTCCGTCTACAAAATAACTGGAGCGAATAGTGTTCCTCCTTCTGGTAATTTTTATAGACAGACGTTTCTTAGGATTTAGTAGCATTTTGTTACTTTTGAACCAATCTGAGATAGAGGTGAGATCTGTCTGTAATCTAACTACATCATCTGAAGACTCTATAACCTTATACAATTTTAAGTCATCTGCAAATATTGAGTAATTACTAAAGGCAATGTGAGCAGAAATGTCATTTATAAATACCAAAAAGAGAAAACTCTAATTACAACTGTATTGTTATCTATATTGACTGCCTAGTTTGATTTTATGTTCGTACATGCGGTGGCTGATAATGAGGTCCAAGGTCAAAATCAGTTATTGAGTTATTCTGTCAATAAATTCTCAGTAGCAGCCCGTATTCAGGAAGGTGGTGGCTAGAGGTGTTTCACCACTGAGCCTCGGAAAGCATGTAAAGCTGATTTTATGTTTCTCTGGTCGTGTCGGATTACCGTCCCAACGAATGGAGTGAAAGAGAATGCACCTGTGCTTGTGCATGCCCTCGAGCATTATAATCCAGCCTGCGCACATGGCTAGTCTCCGTTGAGACTGGCCGCCATGATCGAAATTGGATCTGGAGGACATTACTATAATACCTATATTACCCAGTTATTAACACAAAATGCAGTAATAAAATGCAGCACAGCATTAATGTCGCAGAGTTATTGTATTATCAACACCATTATACTTATATAATCTTTTTTTATTATAGAATGACGGTGACAAACGAGCACACAGTCCACCTGATAGTAAGTGAATGCTGTGGCCCATAAACGTCTACATTTATCCTCGATTAAGAATCAAAACACAGGTGCGTTTTCACCCCTGAGGACTAAGATGGAATGCCTCGTTTTCGGTAAAAAGGGTCTCCGGTTCTCTACACTCAACATACAAAACACAACAATATTAAGCTGCTATTTTACGCTGGTTTTTTGTGAGAGCGTGGTCATTCCCCGGTCGAGCTGACCCATTCGTGCTACAACCATAATATAGCTGCATGTAACAATATCTATTTCTTTTTATACTTAAGCTCGTAGAAGTCCACTGCTGGACAAGGACTTATTCCATTATGGGGAATGACCTAACCGCCACTCTTAATATTCAGATTTATGATCGCAGTACCACCTGCGGGTCGCACCTTTGGTGCGGCTCCATGTCACTGTTCTGGGTATTTCACATCCTCGTAAACAAGATGGTTGTATCACCGTTCATACATGATAGAGCTACGCTGCAGCTATATTACTTGCAGCACAAGTAGGTCAGCTCGATCGGGGTAGCACCACGCTCTCATAGAATATCAGTGTAAAATAGTAACTTTATAATACTGTGTTTCGTATGGTGAGTCCAGAAAACCGGAGACCCTTTTCACTGGTAGCGAGGTATTCCATCTTAGTCCTCAGGGGTGACAACGCATCTGCATTTTGATTTTAATCGAGGATAAATGTAGATGTTCTATGAGCCACAGCATCCATACACCATCGGGTGGACTATGTGCTCGTTTGTCACCCTTATTCTAAAAAAAACTATCGGAAGTTCTGAGATCTTTTTGATGATTTCCATAGTCACCTCTTACGAGACTCACTGGATGAAGTTGAGTGATTCTGTTACGCCGCCACTACTCGGCGATAATACCAAAACGTTAGTAACATTCATTATCTAATCACTTCAACTAGGTATCAAAATATAATGCTGAACATAGATTCCTTCATATGAGGGACTCAAATATTTGCTATGGTGTGGCAACACGCTTGGGGTTGGCAGTTTTTAAGCTATTGCATAGCTTCTATCGCGGGCCTTGAGCGCGGGGACCGAATCCACAAATTCCGTAATGAAAAAAAACCTTACGCTCCCCACTCCGACGGGCACGGAGGTGTGGCGTTGAAAGCCGTGCATCGTCTAACGTCGTATCAGTTCGGCAGACTTCGGCACTCGGCAGAATTCGGCGCGGTGTTTGTGTGCGTGCGACTAGACGTATGCGTGTACACTAGCTGCTAACTCAATGATAAAAATTCCTGAATAACCTACATGTATTGTAAGATATTAAAAATATTTTAAACAATATTAACTTCTCATTTATTCAATAAGAGAAAAAAATTGTTTTCTTATCGGTCACCACGCTCAAAAAGTGTAACTTGAATTAATATCAAAGACTTAACTGCATAAATAAAATAAATAAATAATTATAATTGCATAAGTTGATAAAAAATGCTATGCAATAGCTTTACCGCGGCAGTCACCGAGTGCCACACGTATTTTTTTATTATTGTGAATTATTATCAGAATGATGGATCCTGTTGCCACCTAACTCCCGTTTTATTATCTTCAGTCTTTTCTTACAATACTCACTTAATAGTGGATTTTCTTACGTGTTTGTAACATTATAATCTCACAAATAATTTAAGATCATCTATATTCTATATCTATGTTTTATATTTATGAAATAATTTACAAAATGAATCTGTAGGAAAATTGCTTGTTCACGATTTTCACGAAAACTACTGAACGAATTTCCATTAAATATTATTAGTCAGTAAATGATATAATATATACACAATTTACTCATTGCATACATTTTATCTGTTTACGGAAAAGTCAAAAAGGAGGGTTATGGTTTTCCTTTTTTTGTTGTTTATTATCACAATGACTGCTAATGGTTCTATTTATCATAAAGAGTACTTAGCTATACGTATAGTAAGTCTATGGAAAAGTGTATAAGTCAAAATGAAACTCATCGTGCCACCCATTCGTAAGGAGATAAAGGCCAGAACAACTTTTCCTGGGCCCATTAGTTTCTTAAGAATTCTTTATTTATTTATTTATTAGGGATAACAACAGCCTTCATTCTGTGAAAAAAATCTTATATAATATGTTTTACATAGGGCCAATAATAGTCATCCACTTTTCACAATTTAGCACAAATCAGAAGTATGAAAGATGAAAAAAAAATTACAAATACCTTTAATCAAAAACAATACTTAATTTAAAATGTTTGTCATGGCTGACCTAGAAAATTATTTATGCTTCAATGGGATAATATTAACATATGTAAGCACACACATGTACATATAAAGATATTATAATTAAACACTTATACATATAGGCAAGTATATACATATACTAACATTTAAATTAATATACATACATACGATATACTAATGTACACATTCACATACATACATTATATTAAATTCTTTTTGTGTGAATTAGCGAATTGAAGACACATAACTTGAGATGTTACTACGGATTTACAAAACTACAGAGGCTACCAACATAAACAATAAGGGTTAATTGTCTACTGTTAAGAACAGTTTATTTATTTGTTTTATTTAATATTCTTTATTGCACACCATACAAAAATTACAGATTATATATACAAAAGAAGTATGCAATGGGCGGTCTTATTGCTGACTGCAATTTCTTCCAGATAACCAATGGATGGACAGGATTACACGAATATGATAGGGGTAGGGCAAATTTGTGTATAAAAAAGATAAATCTTACTCATATGTCAATTAAAATAGTATAAGTTTTTCTCAGACTTATGGCAAATGTTTACTTTTTGTTCAAACTAAAGGTAACGAACGGGTGCACAGTCCACTTTTATATAAATAGATGACGACTGTTGGAAGAAATGACAATATGAAAAAAGCAATGCAAAAATTCTATATCAAGAAATATTTGTGGTCAGCAAGTACATATTATATTGGAACGGTCGTACAAATTCCCGACAACGGTCAACACACTATTTTCTTCTATATTCTGTTAGCATTCGTCACGCACTATTAGCTCGTATAATCAAGCGAGTGTTTATATTAAATGCGAAATAACTTTGTTCTTGTTTGTTGACCAGTCACGATATGTAACGGCGTACCGATACTGAGTTAATCTAACTGTTGCTGGAATAGGTTACTGGTTCTGCGGTCGTTTAACATTGAAAAAAAAAATTCATGTTAACCTAGTCGATTTTGACCACGGCACTTTTCCATTTTATCGCTAGTAAATGCCTACCTTTCCAGCGATAAAATGGTTTGCTTTTTGGTTTCGGGCTTTCA